GGAGAACACAAAGGATGAATCTAGTCTTCTCTTTACCATGTTACTCATTCTCCCCTCAACTAACAAGAACTTTAGTCCTGCCCCACTGGAGGACGCAGGCCATATTATACCCAAACATGTATTATTGTAGAGTTTTATTACATTTACAATTTGAAGAGAAGACAAAGAAACATGGTCCTAATTAACTTCTTAATTCTTTTTTTTTTTTTGTCTTTTTGTCTTTTTTCGTGACCGGCAACCGATCGCAACCCTCAGTGTCGCGCCCGTACCGGACCGGGACCGGCTACGGGATCGCAACCCTCGGTGTTGCCCCCGCTCCTCGCTCAGCCAGTGAGCGGCCGGTCTGCATGTGGGATCCGAACCCTTGGCGGGAGCGCCGCCGCGCTTCCTAAGCGGCGCACTGTAGCAGTGCGCCACCGGGCCGGCCCATAACTTCTTAATTCTTATGTTACAAATGATACTCAAAAGAGGTAAGTCCAATACTTAAGTATAGTTTAAACAGCAAGTTGAAGTGATAAATATCCAACTACTTAGTTGGATAGTAAAAAATAACTGTGTCTTCCTAAAGAGTTGGTTGTAGTCCTGTGGAGATCATGAGCAACGACCAAAAATTCCTCAAAAGCAAAATGTGAGAAATATATTTTCTAAAGTCAGACCCTCCCTCTCCTAAAATAATTAACAAAGATATGCTGTGTAATTGATAGTCCAAATATTCCACTTCAGATTGGTGTTCTTGATTTTATATCTTTGAACCCCTGGAGTACAAGCTCTCACACAATGTCTTAAGAGGGTTATGCGTATGCCAAAGAACTGCTTCCTGTTAGTTTTGGAGTGAAAGAGTGGGGCATGAGGCAGTTCCAAGGAAATGGGCTAGAGGCTCTGGCTGCAAGCCTTGTTCATTCATTTAGTATAGCATTCAAATGCTATTATTTCTGGGCCGAGCCCATGGTGCACTCGAGAGAGTGCGGCGCTGGGAGTGCAGCAGTGCTCCCACCGCGGGGTCACTGGGCCGAGCCCATGGTGCACTCGAGAGAGTGCGGCGCTGGGAGTGCAGCAGTGCTCCCACTGCGGGGTCAGATCCTATATAGGGATGGCCGGTGCGATGCGCTCACTGGCTGAGCGCGGTGTGGCCGGTCACAAACAAACAAACAAACAAACAAACAAAAGCTATTATTTCTGTGGGGAAAAAACCCTGGAACAGGAGTTCTTAAACTGGTGTCCTCACATCCAGAAGAAGCCTATGGACAGAGTTGGGGGAGAGCAGTCTGCGAACCTGGATTGAAAAAATTACATCTTTATTTTCATTAACCTCCAACTGCCATTTACCTCAATTATGAATGCTGTCCACAAACCACAGTAGAATCAGAGGTATCTGCAACTTCGCCATCCATAGAAATCACAAATATTTTCAATATATATTATAGTTATTATAGATATCCCCCCAAATTTTAATAGTAATTTCTTCTTCAAAATTTCAATTAGGAGTTCCAGTCAAGATGGCAGAATAGACGGTCCCCAGTGTCACTCTCTTCCACAAATCAACCAATTTACAAGCTGGGGCTGCTGGAGCTCAGGGAAAGAAGAGGAAAGACCTATGGAGTTCATGAAGGCAGGAGAAGCCATGATGAAAGAAAAAACTGCTCAGAGTGTTTCAGGCCGTGGACACTTTAAGGCTGGAGCTGCTGAGCGCAGGGAGCAGGAGCTGGCAGAAGCTGCAGCTGTGCCCTTCAGATGGAGTTACTTGGAGGTGGCAGGGGACAAGAGGGCCTTGGTGGCCCCCAGGACAGCAAGACCACTAATAGGGTTCCTGTGGACCCATACAGTTGTGAGGAGCAGAACAGCTGACAAAGGGGAGCCATTCAGAGGCCAGTGAGTCATTGCAAGGGACCGGCTCAGGGCCTGTCCCATGGGAAATGTCTGAAGCACAGGCGGTGGGGGAGATGGGCTCACTGGGAGAACATGGGAACACAGCAAGGACAGCTGATCCACCCCTCAATCAGTGCAGGACCACTCAGAGGAGACTGGTTGGGAATGTAGAATTGCATGGGGTGCAGTTTGATGAAGAAACTCAGGCCCAGATCAGTTTCTACACAATCCAGATCCACAAGGTCTCTGGAGAGCTGGAAGTACCTATAAGGCCAAGCATTAAACCCTGAGCTGCACAAAAGGCCTTCCCTAGGGAAACAGCAGAAAAGCAGAAATTTAGCTCAACCACACAGCTCAAGTACTGGTTCCCACAGGAAGTTCTCCCATTTTAGAAGCAAAGGACAAAAAATTAATTCTGGCCCAGGCATACCACCAGCACCTCTGGGCCTGCCAGAGGACATGAGGCATGGAGCCAGGGACTGGACACCCCTCCCCCACAACCAGGCACACTGCAGTGCCTCAGGGCCTGCCCAGCGGGCCCAGGGCATGGAGCTGAGGACCAGACCCCACCCCCAACCAGGCACACCACCAGTGCCTTGGGGCTCTGCTTGGAGTCCTGAGGCATAGAGCTGGAGCCTAGACCCCCCCACAACCAGGCAAACCACCAGCACCAAGGAGCACGCCAAAAACTTCATCTCCATATGGGTGGCCCACCACAGCCACCTCAGTAACCACGGCTGACATGAAAGTGGCTAGATGTCACAACCACCACGCAGATGATCCATCAGCCACTGGAGTGCATTGACATAAGAAGAGTCACTAGGAGAGACGGAAGAAAAGAAGAGGATGTCTCTTTCCACAAAGTACATTCAAGAGTAACAGAAGCAGCAGCTGCTCTATGATTATATTGGGGGACCTGAACACACCTATCAGCACTGGACAGATCATTTAGGCAACAAATCAACAGAATAACCATTACTCCTTCAGAGGGAGAGAAGAAATCTAGGGTTATCAGTGGTGGGAGGGGGGAGGGAGAGAAGGACAGGGAGAGATTGGACAAGGGTCATAAAGAATAAGCACAATTTGTAACAATACACATACTAGTAATATTGATTTGATCAACTTATGTCAACATTGAACCCCCAAAATATGTATAATCAATTATGATTCAATAAAAAAAAATTTTCAGCAATTAGATCTGCTGCTCTATGACACATGATTGCAGTTGTTGTTCTGTGTAGACACACTTGTTACAACATAGCTGGCCAAGTATCAAGCAATTATGCACCTGGGTAGTTATACAGACACCAAATGGTAAAGTTGTTTGTGCTCTCATTGGTCAGACATTTAAGTTGCTCTCTAGTATTCTGCAATTCTAAATTAATTGTGGATCAATAGGTGAAAGGTGGTGTCATTTTATTATTTGTTAAAGTTCTGCAAATTGCAGTTCAAATGAGAATTCTTAACTGTTTGTAAGGTGGCTTTCTATAACCTGGATAGGCACATAAATGAAATATATACCAGGTGGCTTTAAATACATCGGATGGTTGAAGTAGATATTGACACGTGTTACTTGGCCTAACTTCTTATCGCTAACAAACTGTTCACTGACAATGGGTCATGCAGTGTTTTACATTCTATAACAGCATTTCTTTCATTTGCTGCTTCTCTTTCTAATACTATGAATTTTACTTAAAAATATTATTCTGAGAAGAGGTTCCAAATTTCCCAGACTGTTACAGGGGTACATAGCACAAAAATGGTTAAGAACCTCTGCCCTGGGACATCAATCATGTATGAATCAAAGAAATTACATACAAGACTTTGTTTGCATATGAGTATGTGTATATTTCTTTGTGAAGAAGGATCATATAGCTTACATTACATTTTCAGAGGTCCTCAACCCTCCTAAAAGATTAAGAGGTTGTTATATTTTTGTATATCCAAGTTAAGTGACTTTTATGGTTCCGAGAAATAATTAGATATGAAATAATTTTTTCCTATAATTTCATATCGAGACTAACCATTGGAAACCAGATACCGAAGACCTAAAATGACACAGAAAAGGCACAGACTTTTTAAGCATTTTGCACTTTAGCCCTGAAGTAGCTAGTAACAAGCAATAATTTCAAAACTTGGAAATTCAAATGTCCCACTAGAAATCTATTGCTATAGTTCTGCAAATTGAACAAATGATAACAAAAAATTGTTAGAGACATTTATATATCAAAAGTATACTCAATATGAATTATAATATGGGAGCAGACATCCTAAAATAGGCTTTAAAATTCTCTATTCTAATTGGATAAGCACAAGATAAAATCAAGCCATTTCCCCAAATTGGTTCTAAATAAGGAAAATCCGCTCATAAAAAACTGTAGACAATTTTAATTTATTGTTAAAAGTTATTTTTAGCAAAAATCTAAGTGTAAACATTTCTTACCCTTTCAATACTGTGTTGCAAACGTAGTTTCATTCTTACAACTTCCTGTTGTCGAAAAAGCTCTTTAAGTGGATCTGACAGTGAAGGTGGTGGTGTAATCTAATTTAAAAACATAGTTAAAAATATTAGGTTTTATTTACAATAATGGGCTATTCTTTTAAAATTAAACCCTTTTAGAGTATAACTTAAATTCTGATGTTCTGTGAATTAAATAATACAGTACTAATTATAAACTAGTTGTTACTTCTCAGTCACTTCCAGCTATTTGAAACACAGCAGAGCAATCCAGCAAGCTTAGATGTTTTGATTCTGAGGCCACAGCAAATTTCAAAGAGCAAATTAGAAGGACTAAGGAAGTTACAATGAGGAGACATATTTTAGAGCATCAGAAAGTGATAGCTCACAGACAGGGAGAGAGGAAGGAATCACAAAAACAAAAGCTGTATAAACATGGAGAAAACATTCATAAAGATTACAGCAGTCAGTATATCATATGGTAAGTGAAGTCTCTTTGCAGAATTGTCTTTTATAAAAAGTAGACAAAACTGTCCAATCAATTTGTAGTTTTCAAACTTCTGTATTACATGTGATATCCCACATGACTTGGTCTATCAATATTCCAAAAAGACTACAGTTCATTTCCAATTTGGTATTATAATGGATTATGCTTTCTGGTAGATGCTGGAGGTTAAGGAGGCTGACTCAATCTATGTGTGCACTTTACTGTTAATATAAAGAGACATCCAAGTATGACAATCTGTGACCCCTGAATATTCTCCCTCTACCCCTTGGAGCATTTGTATTTTCTCGCTCTGAACCGTGCTTATAATTACTGTCAGCAAATTAGGGCAAAGTAAGATATCTCAGTATATTTTGGCACAGTACAATAACTTTACTCTTCTGATAGTTTAACTCATATGAAACTGTCATATGAAAGTGAGACGAGGTATTATCTGCTTCTTGATGTGATGCCAACAGGAACCATACAACATCACATATGAAAAGTTCTTGCCAAAGAATCAAACGTGGATCTATCAAGACTCTATATTTATAATCAGTAAACAATTTACAGGAATTATGGGGGACTGAAAAACATGTTAAACAACATCACAAGGACTCAATCAGTCGAATCAGAATGTGGAAAATTCTATAAGACAAATAACTTATTAGGGGTGATCATTTTTCAGGCCTCTAATTGCAATAATACATTTGTTTGATTTCTGTGTCCTGTAAACTGCTTTAAATTTGACAACAGTGGTAGGTTTGGTGCTATTGTTTTAGTTCTGCAAAATCATACAGGCCTTCAGTTATTTCAAGGAGCACAGAGGAAGAATGTCTACTCATCTGGGATTCGGGTGCCAGAGAAGGCTTCCTCAAGAGAGTAATGCCTGAGCCGCATCTTAAAGGAAAAGCCAGAGTAGAGAGTTAGAGAAATGAGTTACTGTGGGGAAAAAAGGGAAAGGAGGGAGGGAGATAATTCCCTCCCTTCAGAAGAGAGTATAGCATGATTGATCAAAGGCATGAAACAAAGAAATAGTAAGGTATCCATCAGCAACTACAAACAGTATCGAGTTCCTGGAACATCAAATTTGATATGAGAATAAAGAGATGCAAAGTAATAAAGGTCGTAGTCTATTCTGTAAATCAGCTTTTCTTAAATGATGTTCGAAAGAGAAGATATGAAACATGAAGATGACTTACAGGAACAAGTAAGTCTGGAAAACATTATATATTTGTATACATGCACTTATTGCAAAGTCTCACAATTAACACATTAAATGTTCTGAGTAGCCCTGCAGTGAAGCAACCTACTTATCTTTACATAAATGGCTTCCCAAACTTATTTGACCATGAAATCCTTTTCTCCCCACACAGAAGGTATTTAAATTAACATGTGGTAGAACAGATATTATATGCAGAACATATTGTGGTAAATCTTGCATGTAACAGGGGACCACGTCTTACAGCTTGCTGCTGTGTCTAGAGAGCAGATAATAGCGGGACAAGATCGTAGGCAAGGAATTAAGGAAGCAGATCACTGTCACACTGATGTGAGATGGAGGAGGGAGTGGAGAGTAAGTCACCACTAAAGATACTGGTGACTTACTGAATAGGAGGGATGAAGAAAAAGGGAACAGCTGAGGAGGACTTACAGGTTTTCAGTGTGAAAAGTGGAGGTTGGTACTATAGAGACCATAGGAGGGAACAGGAGTGGAGAGAGAGAAGCAGGTTTTTGGGTCAGTTCAGTTCAGTGCTGACATGCTGAATTTGTGAAGCTTATGGGCTTTCAGGTGGTGCTGAGCAGGTAGCAAAAAAGGAGCCAAGGAGAGAGGTTTGGGCAGAATATACAAACTTGGGAATTATCAACATTGATTATATATAGAGAAGTAAAATCACCAAAAGAAAATACGGAGACTTTCTGGGGAAACATTCCCTTTGCTTTTTTCCTCATCTATCCCTAAGTAAATCATGCTTGGAGATTTTTTTTTAAATATCTGTGAGTCTCAAAGCCTTGAGCATAGTTATTCTTTTGACAGCTTCCCAGGATGTACGTCCCTCTCAGCATTAACTCTCAGAATCTCCCTGGAGGGTTTCTGCAGAGTGTGCTGCTACCAGTGGCCACAGCAAGTTGTGACAAGTCTCCCCTATTCATTTGATTTGGGGGAACTTGATCTGCAGTTCTATTCCCCCCCACCCCCTTGATTTCCTTTGGAAAAATGGCAGCATACTAGTTAAATTGTGAGAAAAATACTTAATGAAAAAATAAACATGTAAACTGACTTTGGGGACATTTTACCACATTTCTAATGGGTTTTATAACCAGACCACATAAAGGTGAGAAAGGGTTACTTTGATAAAATGGCAATTAGCTGGCCGGGGAGAAATAAATGATAAAACCATGTTGGAAAGTATGAAAAATAATGTACTTGTCAAACTGATTTTTGTTATTTTGGTCTTTATTATTATTTTTCAATCTAAATTTTGAACATCAGTTCAGTAAACTCAAAAGCAGAGTCTTTTATGAGCACAAGGATGGAGTTAACACATTAGCTCTAATAAACATGAACCTTAAAGTCACTTGGAACTGGATAAAATGATGGCAACCCTTAACTCCGAATAGTGTTTTCAAAGTTTTTTTTTTTTTTTATTTGACCGGTAAGGGATTGCAACCCTTGGCTCGGTGTTGTCTGTACCACACTCAGCCAGTGAGCGCACCGACCATCTCTATATGAGATACGAACCCACGGCCTCGGCGCTACCAGCCCGGCACTCTCCCGAATGAGCCACAGGGCTGGCCCTTAAAAGTTTTTAATGAGCTTTGGCACATACTATTTCAACCTGCTTTGAGGTGGGGTAGACATTATTCTTATTCTACAGATGTGGAAACTAAGGAGCAGAGAAATTAAATGAATTATTCAGGGTCACATAGCTGGTCTGTAGCAAAATCTAGATTTGAACTCATGCATGTTAATTAAAAATCAACTGTTCTTTCTACTATATTGTGTTGTTTCTCTACTTTAGTAATGCTCATTAAAAAAGTCACACAAAAACCTCTCCACTACATCCAGAAATATTTCTCAGCTCTGCTGATAGCCTTTTGAAGTAGTACTTGATGTAACTAAATTTTAATATAATCAAAGATATACCCCTAGAACCACACAAAAACCTCTCCACTACATCCAGAAATATTTCTCAGCTCTGCTGATAGCCTTTTGAAATAGTACTTGATGTAACTAAATTTTAATATAATCAAAGATATACCCCTAGAACTGTTTCAAGGAAATCAAACTTGTATTATATCACCTTTGTAGGAATAAGAAAAGGTGTAATACACATATATGTGCATACAACACACACATATATTCCATAGCTACACTGCATAAGAAGACAATCTAACATGATTTACGAGTATTTGAAATTTTTACTGAAGGGGTTTGTACAAAGTCCAAATTTAAATATGTTCTTTATAGTTATACCTATATGTCATGATACTATATATTATTTCAGTTAAAACTTCTTACCCTTCAAAAGGAAATAAAGTTGGGGAATAAAAGAAACAAGGAAGTTACTAACTTTATATTCTTTGAATCATTAACCATGATGCTACTGAGTCTAACAACAAATTTATTTACAGCTCTTTTTGAAAATCTACCACTACAGCTACCTAAATCTATCTTTTAAGAAGACTTACAAGGAACTAGCATCAGGTATATTCTGTGGATGTGGAAATAAAAAAAAAATCTTTCTTTTAGCTTTTTGATCTTTTCTGAACTGGGCTTTGAAAGAAGGAACAACATCTTTAAAGGCATGATGAGAAACAGCACAGAATGGTCAGGGGACACCAAGTATAGCAGCTATTGTGTGCGGTAGGTGTAGTTACTAAAGCTGAGCCTAGAAAAGGATGAGAAGGACTCTGCATGCAGTAATAAGGAATTGGGCCTTTAGCCTATAGAAAACTACGAGTCCTCGAATATGTTTAGCCCAGTAGTCACATAATCAGATCTGTTTTATAACGAACCCAGACAATAAGGTTAGATTGAGAGAAGAGATTAGACAAGCACCAGGGTCCTATGGCAGCAATTCAGAACGCCTGTTTTGCTCATCTCTATTTAGTTACCAGCACAATACTTAGCACAGTTATGAATTATCTTCATATGCAATATAACATTTAAAGATGCAGTATTCACATATTTGAGTGAATAGTCTAAGGAGCTAAATGAAGGCCTTGCACGGCAGTGATAGTAATGAGAATGGGAAAAGAAGTGAGATGAGTCAATATGACTTAGTGACTGATTTGATGTGAGGGCAGAGAGGAAGAGATCAAGGTTGGATTTTGGGTTCTCACCCTGGGAAAGGAGACAGCAGATAATGATAGTAACTAAAGCCGGGAGGGCAAAAAGAACACATTAAGTAATAGGTTTGATATTGAACACAATGACTTTAAGGATCTTGCAGGACATTCAGGAAATATCCAGAAGCAGCTAGAAATACGGTTATGGACATCAGCAGTGCATTCAGTACTGAAGATAAATTTGGGACTCATTCTATGAGAGATAAATAGTATCCTAGCCTTTAATCAGATTATAGCTTAGCAGCACACATATCAATGATTAACTATGATATTACAGGGAAAGTATAAGGAAGACACAAGCAATTCTGCTTTGACAAGATTTCACACAAACGTAACATCACCGTTAGAAAAACGGCATGGAAAAGGCTGGAGAAGGGGCATGAGAGAAGAGCATTTAGAGAGAGGGAGAAGCACTGCAAAGATTGACAGTAGTGAAAGAGATTTCTGTATAAGAGTGAGTTCAGTTTGGCTGAGATACTGGGCGAGTAGTGAGAAAATAAAGTTGGAGAGGTAAGCAGGGATTACATTGTATGAATTTTAAGCTGCAGGCAATGAGAAGCCACATAGTTTAGGTATTTAAGTAGGAAAATGACTTTTTATTGTTTTAAAAGAAATAGAAATTTAACAGAAGAGAATGTTCCAGCCACAATGATCTAAGTCAGAGATAATGAGGGCCCTAAACCAAGGCAGTGGCAGAGGGTACAGATTTTGGTACAGTTCTAAGGTGGAGTGATTAGAATTTGGTGACTGAGCATTTTCTACTTTGCTGTCACCACTAACAAATACAGATTTGTTTCTGAGGAAGTTTAGGGGTAAATAATTTCTTTTGGTACGTGTTAAGTTTGAGGTCTCAGTGCAGGAATAAGGCACTCATCCCCCAGCTCTTGGGAGTGCTGGTGGCTGACAGCTACCACTGGAGTCCCTCTTCAAAAACTACCTTTCAGGGAGGAGTATTGGCATGCCCAAGGGCATGCTCCTTCCCTGAGGGCAGCCCACCTATCAGAATGGTCATCCCACTCTGGAGCTCTTGTGGATTCAGTTGAGGTCATGGCTGCATCTGCATTTCACTTCAACTTCCTGCTCTGCCCACTTCTGCTTCCCTCACACGTTTAGTTATTCATGACAGCACTCATCAATAAACCTCTTGCACATAATCTCAGAGTTTGCTTCCTGGAGAACCCAACTATGACAAGATGTGTGAAGGACATTTATATGATGACACCCAGAAGCCACCCATATTTGATTCTGGAGGTCAACAGAGATGATATGAACAGGTGAGAATTATTTTGGGACTAACTGCCACCTGAAAGACTAATGAAACCACAGAATTAATTTCCACATTTCTACATCTGGAAGACACACAGAACAAAAAGTTGACTGAAGAGTGGATCACTAGACAACTCATGTTTAAATGGTGGGTAGAAAAAGGAGTCATTAATAGAGACAGAAAAAGATTAGTCAGTGAAGCAGAGGAACCAGAAGAGAACACCATCATGAAAGACCAGGGAGGGAAGGATTTTATGAAGAACAAGATGGTCAACAACATCAAATTTGACAGATCGAATAGAAAAAAAAGAAAAAAAAAAAAAAGAGGCCAATGATTCTGGCAATTATGAGCTTGCTGGTGACCTCTGCCAGTGCATAATGGCTGAGAAACAAATAGGAAATGAAACAGAAAATATCATGCAGGCTCCTCTCCAAGAGTACGGCAGTGAAGGAAAGAGAGACAGGATGAGCTTGACGAGCTGGCATATTCAAGAGGAAACTTTTTTCTCTGCAGGATGGAGGAGATCCAAATATGTTCTGAATGGATGGATAAAAGGTCAATGGAGAGGGAAAATTGACAAAATATACTAGTGAGAACAGTGGTTTAAGAGGAAGGTTCCAGAAAAGACTGAAAAGAATGAGATCAAAAGCATATGTAGAAGCATTAGCCTTCAAAAAAAATAAAAGCATACTTCTTTTAAAATAAAAGGAAAATCAGGTAAGGAAAAAAAAAATTCTATAGACCTGCTGTCCAATTAAGACAGCCACTAGCCACACACAGCTATTGAGCACTTCCAGAAATGTGGCTTGTCTGAATTGACTTGTGCTGCAAGCACGCCCGATTTCAAATACTAGTTAAAAAAATTGTAAAATATCTCATTAATAATTTTTCTATGTTGATATGTTCAAACAGTATTTTGGACATACTGGGTTAAATAAACCCAATTTACTTATTAAATTTATTAAAATTTTTATTTTTACTTTAAAAAACATGGCTACTAGAAAATTTTAAATTAAATATGTGGCTTGCATTATACTTCTATTGAACAGTGTTGTAGATGTATATTAAGTGACAATTTACTTACTGTGGGAATACAGATCTTGCTTAAGGGGTTTCCGTCCAGGAGATATGATCCATTAAATGTTACATATTCATCATAATACTGAGGTGCTTGAGGAATAACACTACACAATAATTTGCGCTTTTCTTCAATTTTTTTCCTTATGTGCAAGTATTCAAAATATGGATTTGCTCTCTCTGAGCTGTATGGCTGAATCTCATCTAATTTCAGAGAATCTACGATGGCTGCCAGAGATTGCTGAGTTTTCTCTTTTGCTTGCAGTAAAGAAGGATTCACTTGCACAGGCTGAGGTACCCGTGACACTTTCCTTTTCCGTGGATGGTGAATTTGAGGATCATCTTCTTCAGTTAATCTTATTCTTGCTCTAAGAGATGAAGATTCACTGTCTTTTTCTGATAACAGTGTACAGCTAGCAAGAATCTGTTTGCTTTGATTTCCCACTGTATTTGCTTTGTTTCTAGTCATTCTTTGAGGGATTTGGTTTTCAGTTTTATCGTCTTCAACATTTTCTTCTAACTCTACTTTAACTAATTGACCATATTTATGCATTTCTGGTTGAGCTGACTGCTGTAAATGGTTTTCCAGACTTGATAAAACATTTTGTTCAGATTCTTCACTTTCGATGGAAAACACACACTTTTCATTTTCAGGAAAATGTTTTGGATTATCTTGTTCATTTAGGTTTCCTTTTGGCATCGCTGTATTAATTGCACATAAATCAGAATCACACTTACTCAAATGAGTTAAAACCAAACCCTCCAGTTTTTCTTTTTCATGTGAAATAACCTGAATATCAGTTGTATTATTCTCAACTTCATGACCACTGGAAGACTTGTTAGTTAGTTTGCTGAATGCATAATGTGTATTTAGCTGAGAAGAGGCATCACTTCCATTAAAGTCCTTTTCTGATGGTAACACAGGCAAAGTATTAGCCTTCTCAAAGTTTGGTGATGCTTCTTGAAGAGTGCTTTCAGAATACACTGAGACAAAGGCATCTGTTTTTTGAACATCTGCTAGGACAAGAGTATTTTCTGTATCTTTTGTAGATTCATTATCAGTATCTAAAACAGAATTGATCATTTGAACTGCATTTTTCTGATGTAAAATACCAGGCTCTTGATTGGCAACATAGGACAGAGACATATGTTTAGAAATAGATTCAGCATCCGAAACTGATTGGCTGGGGAAAGAGCAAGGTTGCTGTGAAGGCAGAAAGGATGCTGTATCCTGAGCACAAGAGTTTCCTGGCAGCTCAGTCTGGTGCAGGGATAAAAAATCAGTGTTCTGTTCTTTTATTTTGTTGTCAGAATTACAAAAACCCTCAACAGAGGAATCGTGATCAGGTGTACCAGAATTTGGGCAGATAAAGTCACTGGTGCTTAAGGACTCCCGTCTATCAACAGGTATCTCCCATGATTTATTCTGGATCACACCAATCTGATTTGACAGTTCTAAATGAACAGAACTATCCATTAAAGTGCCCACTGGAGTAGTACTCTTAATAACATTCATATCAGCTGAAATATATTTGCTGTTTACAGACCTAGTTGGAGAAGCTGCAAAACTGGAATGTATGTTAGACACATTTGAAAGATCTCTTTCGGGAACATTTGAGGATACCTCAGGTTTGGGAGAAGGACAAGAATCTCTTGGCACAGCTAATAAGCTACCTTGACTGGTTTCTTCTGATATTGCTTGGAATTGTTTGGGATGTTCACAAATGACAGATGGCATGCTACATCTTCGAACTTCTACACTAGATCTCCCCTCGTTTATAATTAGTTTAACTTCTTCTGTAGAAGATGACCTGAGATGAGACGTTGGAAGTCTGTTTGCATATGGTGGTTTAATCCGCTCTGGCAGTTCAGCCAGGCTGTCCAATTCCCTTTCAAGAAGGGCAGGAGATTTGACAATTGGCAAAAAAAGTGACTGGGAAAAGGACATTTGGGACTCTGAACCTTCTAACACAAAGTCAGAGTCATATTCAACTGGAGGCCTTGGGGTTGTCACTGTAGTATGACAGGAATCTTCTGAACTAGCAACAGAAATCATGGATACAGATCTGGAGCTGAGACCTGGCTTTTCACTTTCTGATCTAGGAGACCTGTTTGAGCTATTATCTGAAACAAAGGATGACTTCCCTAAATTCATTATGCTTTTGGTGTCCACAGACTGTGATCTGTTACTTACAGCATCTTTAGACTGTTTCTCCTTGGTAAAAACATCGGTCAACTCTGAACTCTTTGACCTAGTAAGTTCTTTATTTTTGGCTTCAGCTAGTGCATGTTTTGTTTTTTCTTTATCTTTTACTTTAAGTTCCAAACAATTACGATTTCTCAAACGTTCTTTTTCTTTTTGCTTAATTTTTTCCTTATGTTTTTTGTGCCATTGTTCTATTTCTAAGTCTTTAAGGCTTAGCATTCGTTCAAAACTTGTCTGCATTAAATCATCATTCACTAACCTCTTTTCTTTAGGTCGAGTATCTTTTGATGCTGGCGATGCTTTAGGTTTAAGCTTTTCTGCTTCAGATTTCAATTTGAGTAAACTATTTAGCTGGATTTTATCTTTATGTTTGTCTCGTTCTTTGTATCTATCTATGTCTCTTTTATCTTTTTCCTTTCCATCTGGAGTTTTCAAAGGTTCATCTTTTGATTTTTCTTTAAAGGGTAAAGTTTTTTCATGTTGTGCTTTACTACTGTCTATTATACTCGACTTTCTCTCTTCCTGTAAGTGTTTGGAGTTAGTTATATTTATACTTTCCTTATCTCTAGATTTCTCCTTTTTATCGATTTCCCTGTCTTTTTCTTTATTTTTGCCTTTCTCTGATTTAGTATACTCACTATTATCTGATTGTTTATTTTTTTTCTCCATCAAGTGCTTTTCTTTGCTTTCTGCTAGATGCCTCTCTTTTTCAGGTTTTTCTTTGTCATGTTTTCTATCCATCTTTTCTCTATTCTTCTCTCTATCATCAGTTTTTTTAATAGTAGCAATATTTTTGATCTTCTCACCTTCTTTATGGCATTTTTCTGTGTGATGTGAATATAGTTTGTCCTTTTCTTTTATTCTATCAATACATTCACTAAGATCTAATTTGTCTTTTTCAGACTTGTGATCATGTTTTATCTTCTTCTCTTTTTCAGAACTTTTTCTTTCAGGTTTTTCCATGTCCTTTTCTTTAGTTTGAAATCGTTTCTCAGATTTTTCCTTACTTTCTTTTACATGCTTTTCTTGTTTTTCAATGTCTATTTCCTTTTCCACTGTATGTAGCCCTGTGGATTCCTCACTGGTACTTATACCCAAAGAACTGAATTCTGTTTCTTTATCTGTGGGTATATTCTCTCTTTCTTCTTTTAGGTCTTTTGTTTTTTCTTCCCTAAAAGATTTCTCAGTTTCCTTTTTAATCTTTTCCCGTTCTTCTTTAAAGTTCTTCTCTTTTGAGACATGCTTTTCCTTGGCTGGTTTATCATCTTTTATGTTTTTTTCCAATTTTGATTTTTTTTCTAACGTTAGGGACTCATGTTCCATACTTAAAAACAGGTCTTCGGTTTCATCACTTTTAAAAAAATTCTCTTTCCAAAATTCTCTATCAAACTCCACACTCCTCTGCAGTTCTTTAGCACCATCCTTATTTTTATATTTTTCCTTTTCACCTTCAATTTCTTTTTTATGTTTTTCTTTTTCCCTCTCCTTATGTTTCAATTTATGTTTTTTTAATGTTTTACCCTCTTTATCCATTTTTTTTAGTGTGCAATCTGAATTTTCAAATGTTGGACTATGATCTTCATCCTTTACTTTGGCATTTGATTTTTCACCAAATTCTAAGTGGAAATCTTTCTGATGTTTGTTTTTTTCCTTATGCTTACAAGATTTTACAGTTGAACTTTCTGGCAAAAATTCAGATTCTGTGTTATCATACCTAACAAGATCAGGCTGTAATGATATTTCAGAACTTCCTGGTGATAAACATGTTTTAGTATGTTCTTGTTTTAGTGGTATTGACTGTTTTTCACTTAATCCGCAAGAGTGTTTGGGAGATTTACCAGTGGAAATATGAAACAAATGTAATGAAGTATCATCTTTTGGGCTAAAAGATTTCCTAAAATTCCCTTCTTCTCTGGTCTTTTCTGAACAATCTAGAGCAGTACTAACTGTCAAGTTTGTTACTCTGGTGTTTTCTTTTCCCTCTTTTTCTTGCTTCAGCTCTTGGTTTTCTTTATTTTTGTTCTGGTTTTTTAATTTTCTTTTAACTTTGCCTTTCTGTTTGTGTTCACTTGAAACTACATACTCCTTCTTGGTTTGTATATCAGAATGTGATGTTTCAGGGATAGAACATGCAGTAGAAACCTTTTTGTTCTGAAGAACTTCTTCATCAGAACTTTCAGTACTTGAATATAAAACCCTAGATGGCTTTTGTTTTTTACTTTTAAATGATTTAGGATAGAAGGCTTTCTCCTGTTTTGTAAATAAACTATTCTTTTCTCCTTCAGATTCATTCTCTTTTCGTTGTTCTTTCCTAAGAATATGTCTGTCATCGATCATTTTATTTATTTCTTCATCATCATCATCTTTGAACTCATACTCATCAAGGGCAGATGGAAGAGGTGCTTTACTGGGAAGTACTTGTTTACTTTCACAGATGAGAGAGTCTTTCTCTGTTTCAGAGTCAATATTTTCATCAACACTAGAAGGATTTACAGACTGAGCCTCTTCAGAATCTAGAGTAAGAAAAGAAAATCTGTTGTTGGTTAAAAACACAATTGTCAAAAAAATAAGACAGAAAACAAAACTTATAAGTAAATATTTCAAACAATTCAAAGTCATTTCAGATTTATATGTAAATAATGCAATAAAAATATGTAAGAACTCTTGATAGTGTTGGAAAACGGCTTTATAATCTGCTGTATGATAAAAATCCTTTTGACACTTCTAAAAGCACACAATATGTTAAATTCACAAAATATACACATAAAAAATAATATAGAGCACAGGTTCCTAACCCAGGAGGCTAGATTCAGGGTAATCATCAGCTACTAAAATGTTATATAAAATTCTGCATATATGTACATTTTTCCTGGAGAGAGAATATTTAATTTGGCTAAGATTCTTTGATCGAAAAAGGATTAAGAACCACTAACTTAAAGGGTCTAATTAAGTAAACTTCACAAATTGTTTTCTGTGTTTCAGAAAATTTATTAGTAAAATTATACGGGATCCTGTGATTCCCATAAAGCACGATAACAAATACAGATGAATGATTGTAATTACCGTTTTGTCAAAAGTTTTACTTTCGTTTGGGTTCAAAGGATTCATTGGTAAAAGAAACCACTCGTCACACTAATAAGCCAGTTTATGATATTTATTGAGGTACAGTGATAAGCAAGCAAAGAAAGCAAGATTATGCAGAAATATTAAGAAAAGAAATTAAACAGTGTATACATCACCAAATTTGGAAAACACCTACATCCAGATCCAAGCAGTGCTGGGAAGTCCCATGAACAGCAATCTGGAGTCCCAACTGGAATTGTCCCAGGCAGTGCGTCCACTCCACGGGTGAGACTTCAGAGAGCAGTTTGGGGAAATCCTGCTTATATTATCCAGCCACAGACTGATAACATTAGTCTGCATGCAAACATGCAGCTGTGGTTATTGTATTAATTCTTTGATCTTTACTCATAAGTCTTCAAGATGTTCTCCGGCCCTGAGAACTGGCCAGGTTCCCAAGGTCCAAGAAGCTCCAGGACTTACTTTCCTCGTTATCTAATGGTTATAGGTGACCATCCCATAGACCTGCACACAGTTTCTGAGAGTCTGGCACATAGCCTATGCAGGGTCATTCTTTGGTCAAAGGCCTAGCAATGCCTCTGAAGCCTGAACAAGACTATAAACCTTAATTTTCCCAACACTTATATAAGAAACATGACTATCTGAAAAAAAATCAGAAAAATTAGAAATAAAACCCTCAATCACATAATCAAGATTGTAACAGAGAAACTGAACAGATATGTAATTTGAAAAAAAAGTTGCCTTGTTCCTTAGTTTTTTTATCTATAATTTAGGACTTGATATAATACATTCTTTAGTACAATGGGGGAAAAAAACAGGCTCAATTCCTACATATTTTTAAGTACATGAAAATTTAGTTTTTGAAGTTGCATCTAAGTTGCTGTATGGCCAAAGACTTACTAGATTCTATTTCATTATATCTTTTTTAACAAAAAACTTCTTTCTTCCCAGACTGGCATCTTTTCCTGCTGAAATGTTGTATACAAGGGGCCTCTAACTGAAAAGAAAACCCAGGACTCTAAGGGGAAAAAAAACTGAAGTCTCTGACCAAGAGGGAAAAAACCAAACTCATTACAATAAGGACAATTAAATACTTAATTTACTAAGTATTTAATAGTCCTGCTGAAATGTTGTATACAAGGGGCCTCTAACTGAAAAGAAAACCCAGGACTCTAAGGGAAAAAAAAACTGAAGTCTCTGACCAAGAGGGAAAAAACCAAACTCATTACAATAAGGACAATTAAATACTTAATTTACTAAGTATTTAATAATATTAAAATTACACACTTATTTTAATATATTAAGCTTCCTCTAAAGTAATCTAGCTCCCAAATATTCTCTTGACATGAAAATTCAAATTCCAAAGGTATTTTTGTGTGTCCACAAGGTACCTGACACTGTACTAGGATCTCGCAGAGATCACAATCTTTCTTTGAGAAAGATGTGGTCATATCCTAAGACAGCATCATTGTAAAGTGCCAGTGAGTGATACAGCTACTCTGCTATATATGGTACAGAAAAGACATTTTTGGCAATTGTAACCACTGTACATAGGTTAAAAATGCTCTCCATTTGCAGTTATCGATATTGCAGTACACAGTATCAAACTAGAGAACTTTATGCTATGAAAAAGAACACCCATTTCCGGACTACTATTCATTTTGGTCCTTGATTAAATGAATCAAAGAGTATGTTCAGGTGCTGTTTTCTCATTTACATTTTGTAATTTGGTCTTGAGGAACTTTTCTCTACTTGTAATTTTCAAAGATTTCATTTTTATTGTTTATATATAACTATTTCTATTCTGTTCCTGTTTAGATGATTAGTTTTACTGGAAATTGGAAAGTATTCTTTCCTTTGTATATCCCATAAAATCCCAGCAAAATGTTCTATATTTAGAATCAATCTTCAATAAATATTTAAGCTCCACCAGGCACATAGTGCTAGGTGCTAGGACTGGCAAGATGGAAAGAACAGTTTCTGCCCCAAGAGCAACTGAACTCCTAACAGTCACACAACGTGATAATCGCTAAAATGACAGTAGATACTAGGTCCACAGGAAAGAACACCTGCTTGGGATAACTGGAGATTTAAGGAAGGTATCTCAGAGAAGTGGCCCTGAAGTGAAGCAAGAAGAATGTACAGGAATTTCAGGTAGGATTTAAGGGCATGAAAATAACTAATATATAGACAAGCAGCTCAAATCACAGCATACACACCATTTCATATATGGCTTTTAACAGACAGTAGACACATTTTCTTTTGACATTACATTTTCTTTTATATTTTTAGTAATAGAAATGCATTTTACATTGAGTTAATATGTAATCATTTAAACTGATTCCTCTACTGAGGAGACATTCAGGTTGCTAATTACTTGATATGGCAGATATTTAATACTGTAGAAAACTTTTAGTACATACCATTACTATTACTTGGAAACAGCAGTGTGTGTGTGTGTGTGTGTGTGTGTGTAGAAAAAAAGAAATAAAGGAAATACATCGAAATAGTACCTGTAGTAAACTCTGGCTGGAGGAATTATGAATGTTCTTTATTTTCTTCTGTATTTTCCCTGTTCCTAGCATAATAGATACATTACTTTTACTATTAGTAAAGATATTTTTAAAAAATTCATTAATAGATATAAAGTTATACCACTAAGTTTGATTTTTTGATTATTGGTGTGACTTTTTTTTCCATGTGTTTGTATTTCCAACTGAGCTAATCAGCCAGCCCTCCTTCTGTGTAATGTCTTTTTATAGTTTCTTCAGCTTATTTTCTTCTGGTTTTTTTATGCCTATGCTATTAGCCCATTATTTTAATTATAATACACATATAATATTACGTAAATTTCAAATATCATTATATCAGTGCACTTACCATTTTTGAATATATTCACTAAAAGTTAAGTACAAATTCTCTTTAGGGAGTTACACATATGGGGGCACTTACAAAGTTTATGGAAAGAAAAAGACCATGGAAAGATTCACCTTTCAATTCTGTTGGAATTGAAAAATGGAATCTTTGTATTCTCTTTTCCCATGAACTTTTTGAAGTGCCCTTGTATATATATATGTGTATACATATATATATATATACACACACACATGTATATATACTGAGAGATGTGTGGTTTGTTATTTGTGTTCCTGATTCTTCAGTTGAAGAACTGCTCTCCAACGCAGGTATGCCTTTTTTCTATGGGTGCTTCTTTTTTTTGGGTGGCTGGCCGGTTGGAGGATCCAAACCCATGATCTTGGTGTTACAAGGCTGTGCTCTAGCCAACTAAGCTAACCGGCCAGCCCCTCTAATGGTTCTTTTTAAAAGATTCCTAGTTTTTAAAGAGGCAGGCATATATTAAATTCTAAAGTAAGTTAACCCGACACTAGTTAATAACTATGATGAGAGTCTGTACATTCCCCCCCAGGTGAATGATCATCACCTGGGTCTGGGTATGAGTCACACATTTCCGCAAGGCTCACCTCTCTGCACACTGGTTTCTTGGCACCATCTGAATGACCCTGTGCTGCTCACACAGAAGCTGGTTAACCTGTGGACCTCAGCAAATACCACTACCTCCATGATGCTATTTCACTTGCATACCATGCCGAAATCTCTTTCCTTCCTTAAGCAGCCCCCGAATTTTTGATTTACTTTAACCACTGAGGAACATAGATCAACCTGGTCCTGGATTCTAGTGGGGCAGTAACTTTCCAAAAAATGTTTGTTCTACCTTTTTTGTCTTTTCTTTTTCCCTGCTTGCATTGTTTAAAAAGTTCTACCTTTCTTAGTAGATGGTTGGTGTAGTGACAAAAATCACCTAAAATTTCCAAACCCTCAAATTCCTGTAGTTAAAAATGGCCATGGTTATCATTATACTAAGTTATTTTCCATTTCCACACTTTTTAGTCTCTAACATCTATTTAATCACTAAATTTGAACTACTTAAGACATTTTATAAAACTATTTCTGACAAAAACCCTCCTTTAAAATTTTTAATGTTTATCACCTTGATTTATTTTCAACAATCTTATTTGGAAAACTAGGAAGGAAAATGAAAAATGGAAAGGTTAAGCAATCGTTAAAACATTTTATCAACCTGAGGTCTGCAGATACAGCTGCCCCAGAATCGTAAGCCAAATAAACCTCTGTTCTTTATAAATTAAAACAAAAACAAAACCAAAAAACAAACAAAAAAACCCCATTTTATCAAAATTTTTATTAGAGCATTTTTCTTCTCCATGAAAAAATAATAAATTAAGCTCCATTTTATTATTTAGGAAATACATTTAAATACAAGTATATTTGAAAGTTGCTCTTGTACATCTCAAGGCAGTTTCAGCTATTTGCAACTAAGATGGGTAACATTTTTTTTTTTTGACCGGTGTGGGGATCGCAACCCTCGACACAGTGTTGTCTGCATCACGCTCAGCCA